AAAACATTAAATTCGTAATATGTAATAATTTTATATTATGGCCATAAATGAAATTCGCGGTAATAAATTTTAGGTCTTTGTATAAAAAAATTTTAGGCGTTTTCTGACAATGTCCTAACTTATATCGAACAGTAGAACAAGTTCCGGGTTCGATTCCAATCTCGGCTCTATATCAAGCAGTATGATAACAAATTTCCGCTTGGGGTTATAGATCCCAAATATAATTTTAAGTGAATATTGCCTTTTGCGGGCATTGATTAATCACATACAAGTGAGCAATATTAGATTGCTCACATACACACATACACACACACATATATATATATATATATATATATATATATATATATATATGTTAGAGATGGGCTTATTATATCCGGAAACGGATCGACTCGGATTTGACTCCGCTTCATGGTGGAGTTATATCCGCTAAACAACTCCACGACTCCGACAATTTTGAAACCGAAATACTCGAAACAAATGTGTTCTATAGTACGCTGTTTATGTGTCTAAGGATTTGTCAAATCCCATTAATTATTTGAAATAAAAATTTATGAATAATTATCAATAAAATAATTTTTCTAAAAAATTCACGAATAAATGACGGATTGTAAAATTTTTCGGTCGACCAGATGATCGACTCAGTGACTCGTATTTTTGGCAGTGTTGACTAAAGTAAAAACGCAAAACTTGAGAATCAAATTCAATTTAATGATTTTCTTTTGATGAGAAAATAATTGATTTTTTGGATTAATTTTATATAAAAATTATGTAGCAAACTTTGTAATAAAAGCAAAACATAATACTTCTGCTTTCAAAATTTTTCTTCTGCTATTTCCATTCATTATATAATTATTATAATTATATAATTGTGTAAAAGTAATAATATAATACTGAATATTTTTTACTGCTTAAATGCTAATGATATCACTGATAAATTTTGTACTCTAAAGTTTTGTTATTTCAGGCTATGGAAAAACAAGATTAAATAAATGAATTTCGTTCCGTATATTTTTCGGTATGTATATTCCTGAACGCCGTCACTCACGGCCAAAGATTGTATCTTTAAAGTAACATTTTTGTATTTTCTGGAAAATACACAATGGTATTTATTTTGACTTTTATACCTAAAAAAGGTCATAAAACTGCCTGCGAGACAAGGAAGTGACTGCTTCCTTCCCAAATCAAGAACGACAAAAACACTAAATGTCTGTACGAGTTAACAGATTTAATACCAGTTTAAGGAAGTCGGATATGACAAATCCTGTGAAACAACTCCACTCGGATTCACTCCGAGGGAGGAGTTGTATCCGAGTGATAACTCCGGAGTGAGTTACCCATCTCTAATATATATATATATATATATATAAATTTACTAGCATCAATAATATCGACAACAAAAGGTACCCACATTCTTCTATACCATAAAATATCTAAATATGGACAATTTTACTTCTTTCCATGGGTGATTTAACTTGTTAGGAATTAAATAACGGCACTTATTGTTAGTTAATTCCGCGGATAAAAATATGTACATATGCACGTAACCCACATTTTGTATGGGCCACTTTGCCGAGTTTACAATGTATCACTATTATCAGGAAAAATTAAACAATCGTAGTAAATTGTCAATGTCGTTAACCGTGGAATATGTGAATATTATACTTTTTTTTAATTAATCTTTAGTATATTATGATAAAAGTTCTGATTAAAATCGCCATTACATACCCATCAAAACTCTCTATCCCTTTAAGTTTTTTCTAACCAACCAGTTGTGTTGTAAAAGACTAGAAACTTATGTACAAAATGAAAATTTGGCACAACTTTGAATTTAATGATACTTAATAATGATAATGTTAAGATTGAAAACGAAGTTAAAAAAATAAATCCAAAATGGAAATAAGTAACTGAAGTCAAAAACAATATGTTAGAAATACTAATGATTTCGGTTTGGAAATATATAACCAATATGTTCAAATACGCAAACGCCAAAAATATTAACAAATTATTCAATAATCTGAAGTTTTGTCTTATTCGTTTCTTTTAAATACTCAATACATCTTGAAATTCAATTAAAACCAAGCACTTAATGTCAGTATAATTAATATCAGCATGATTAGACAATCAGTGTGATTAATGTACATTATCATGAATTGTGTTTTACATTCCAATCGATATAAAATGATATATATTTTATTGCCATTTGTAAATTAAGATCGTTCGAAAAATGGGCATGTTAGAGTTTTATTTTTTAAGTAATATTATTCAATATTAAGGTGGAAATATCAAACAGCGGTGAAGAAACTCTGGTGCAAAAATAATTTCAATCACAGTTTTTGTAGTTGATGCATAGATGTAGCATTATATTACACTTGCATTGCTTGTATTGAAAGATATGACTAGTTTCATCAAATTTTAAAATTCAAATCAACATTTGTTACTGTAATTAACAAAAATAATCATCATACATGTACGATTGCCTTGCAACTTTGCCCTAAATATATTTAAAATTTATTACCAAAGTATACCGAATACTGACAAAATCCACTTATTGCTCTGTGTTCAATAAGTTTCTTACATACTTTTGTATTCTATCAAGACCCTATGACTAATGAATAAATTGCTACTGCTTGTCGTCACGTTGGCAAGTCACCTACTCTTCTCTCGATACGGATCATCGGCGTTATATGCAAATCTAATCGAAATTGAAATTGCTCAACACAGGTGTTAAACGAACATTCAAAGAAATAACACGGTCGTCTGATGTGATGATCGGTAGTAATGACTCTTAGTGTGAGGTAAAAAATGCATTCCACTTCCATCGTAATGATTTAAATGCCATTGACAATGACATTAAAGTTCGCGACATTGATGTAATAGTCGATGCTATTTGATTCATAAAATATCCAACCATAATGGTAGAGACTTTTATCTTTACCATCATACTCTTCAGGATCAATATCAATTACAATTATCTTGTGACCAACAGTTACATTATTAGTAAATGATTTACTAACTAGTTCCTACTTGTAAATAGTAGTAGAATTTTGAATCATATTTTAGTTGGATAGGCGAAAACTTCCCGGTCGAATTTCTTAAAAGACGTTCATCTGAACAGTAGTAGAAGGATGTTTTATGAAAGAAACAAATGAAAACAGTAACATGTTTTTGTTCAAAAAGTTTCTACATACTCCTTTCTGGTAATGGAGTCTTTACCGTAGATCTTACCAGCACAAGGTGTCAGGTTCGATACCCACTACAAAAATATGTTTAACTAAAGAAATACCAGATCAATAAAACGCATGGAACTAGCATTCTCGGTCATGTTAAATCTAATATTGTATTTGTAACACTTTTTCACACAATGGATAAGCAAACAATAAATAAATTGAGTATTTCTCAAAATAGGTTAATCTTCTTGGTGTGATACATTTAACATAAATGAAATCTTTACCATGGCTACTAACAAAACATGCGTGAGCATTCTTCTATTTTTACATTGGCTGCATAATACCGGCTTATAGATATTGACCATTAAATCTCATAGTTACTTCAGCTGATATAAGAATTAAGTTTATAGCAACTTTCTTGGTAATAATAACTTATAAAATATATTTGTATTGAATGGCACGTTCTTTCTTCCATGAAAATTTGTATTAACCTCAATTCACTTCAATGACAATGTTGGATGAACTAGAAATATTGTAAGAAATTACAATTATGAATATCAGCTTAAGTTAAAAAAATATTATATGCAAAAAATGGAGAAATCTATGAAGTTAAAACATGATACCGTTTCTAAACAAACTGTAGCAAATTTTATATTTGACTGATGAACTAAAAACAGTTTTCCTAGAGCTGATATCAAATCAGTAGCGATACCAGTTGTCTTAAAATAATTGATATTCAATGAAAACAAAAAACAGAATTATTGCAATATATATCTCAACATCTATTGCTTCTAATAATATTAGGTTCAAAATTTTACCTCACAACAGCTTATAAAATGTACACATAGGTCAATAATTTATCAAAGTTAGTGTCTACAGTCTACAAAACGTCTACTAGTTATGGAAAAAATGCTACCATTAATTTGAATCATTAACCCTTTCCACTCAGATGCCGCCGCTCCAGCGACAAAATACATATTAATTTTGAAATTCCCGAGTGGAAAGGGTTAAATAATATCTAGAACTCCGTAAATGATATATGTAATCGAACCGGTATTTTCTTATGCTTAATATTTCAATAATAATATATTACCTTTCTTTAAAGAAAAGCTTTTGACGTTTTTCATAAAATTTAACATGGCGATAAAGTTTATGCCTAAACAGTCCAACGAAAATTGATTGAATTATATAAGTTCATTAGAATTTGGAATAATAAGCTACAATTTTAGAACATACAAGCGCGTCTATGTACTCAAATCAATGTAATTACAGATAATTTACATGTGTTTGAGTGATATCAATTAGGAATAGCAAAGTTTAGATTTAAGTGAAATAACAAAATCATCAAATATGGATGGATTAATCATTGGGTTACCATCTAAAAAAATACGAAGTAAGGAGAAGTTTCAGCCCCACAACTCATAGGACGTAAGGTTCTGATTGCTGTTAAAAAAAATATTCAAAAAAAAAAAAAATTCAAGAAGTTCAAGCACTGTCCTTAAGGCAAAATGCTTTCAACATCAAACTAGTTTTCAGCAGATGTATGATTAATTTGTGATTGTGGTGCTGGTCCAGTCATTATAAGTTCCACCCTAAAGTTGTCTCAAAACCTACATATGGTATTGACACCCTACCATATGTGTAGGTTGTACAAGTATTTACAGACTTAGAGCCGGCATCTCGAATTCCGAGATTCTTACCTAATTTAAGCTTAAATGACTGGACTATGCATTTTATATTGCGACTTGCATTAGTCACATTTGTTTCATAATTTAAATTGATAAAATTAGCGTAGATCATTAATTTTATTTATGTATTTTCTAATTTTAGCTTTGTCGTAAATCCATTGACACCTGTGCAAGAAACACTATGTCAGCTGCAAAACGACACGAGCGCGAACAACCCGAACGTGGCGCCTCAACGCAGCGTCAACATGTACTACATGGTAAAGCTGCAGATGCGATCAGAGAACGTATGTCTCAGGCCCTGGGCGTTCGAACGCGTGCCCAACAAGATCATACGCGGCTTGGACAACGCGCTCATCTATACATCCACGAAGGAGGCTTGTCTGGCTGCCTGCTTGAACGAGGTAAACCATCCATAAATCTAGAAACGGTACATGCACTTTTTCCTAAGGATTTTTGTTTTTGCTCTCAAGCTACAGATCAATATGATGGTCAGTAAATCAGTATGATTGGTAAGGCAGTCCGAATAACCAACAATCTCTTGTTTGCTTAATAATAGATAGTGTTATCATTTGTCCCAAGAAAATTGTTTAATTTAGAATACCTTTCAAGTTGATTCCAAAAAGTTCTACGATTGCCTATTTTCCATCAATTTTAATTGAGTAAAAGATTCGATTTCCGCGTTGAAGTAGTTGATGATTGCTCTAGCCATGATGTTCTCTAGCTCCTACTGCTCTTGGCTAACTGCGAACGAATGACTTCTGATTATGTCTTCTCAATTGACATTATGCTCTACATTAACCTTTTGAAAAACGCCGCATATATGCGTTTCAAGCAAATCATTAAACTAGCCCAAAAACTCATATATGCGTTTGACGATGGCAGTTGTTAGAACCGAAGATTTGGCGTAGACATATATATGTGTCACACCTAAATACATATCGATGGCCGAGGAACTCAATATTAATAAACCAAACGAAAAATAGTTAATTAAAAAATAAACATTTTATTTGTCCTGTAGAAAATCTGTGTATATAAATATATAAGTCCAGAAAATGAGTTGGAGTGCTAGAATTTGAGTTAGCCTAGAAAGAAATATGATGTACACGCACTGAATTTCACCATTCAATCAAAAATTGCTGGCGATTTGGTGACATACCAATTATTCTGATTGGTCTTCCGTTCGACTTCAAACGATTGCAATTTCCAGTTCGCCTTGCGTTCGCAATAACATTTAACAAGTTGCAAAGCCAATAACTTAGTATTTGCGGGATAAATTTTAAATAGATTATTTATAAAATCATTGATTCTCACATGGGCAGTTATACGTTGCCTATTTACGAGTTGGAAAACCATCCGCTTTATTTGTGTTAACGTCAGACCAAAAAACAAAAAATGTGGTTTACCAAAGAGCACTTTAATGAAGCGGATAATTTGCGGATTCACTTTCATTTACCAAGAGAAGTTCAACTAAACAACACTTCATTTTTATAATCGAAATAAATTCATTACTGTTGTATAATAAAATCAAATTTTTCCTTTTCAAATATAAAACAAAAAATTTCTTCATCTTTCTCACGAAACCATCTGGTGGCGAAACGGAGTTCAATTGCTAAATCTTCTTTTATGTATTCCTGCTGCTCTATCGACAGAAATTAGTTCCGAGTGGTACGATACCCATCTCCAAATTTAATTCGAGAGCAAAGATTTTATGTTATTAAGATAAAGATGCAATTTATTATTATTTTTATAAATAAATAATTCAATTACTGTGTACCGAGTTCTTTTATATAATTGTCAAATTTTCTCGGTCACAAAAATGCTATTTCGAAATTTGTTATAACACGTAATCTCATAAAACGTAACTACTCTCGAACCACCTAAGGCGCCAATGCGAATATCTTATTATCCGATGGCCGCCCATTCGAGAAAATATTACACCAGAGGTGAATTATCAAGCAATTTCACACAAAACGATCTTTTCGCGAACAAAAGCGCGGATGACTGAATATACTGAATTTCGCTGTTGACTTGCGGCATCATAACGGCACTAAGGTATATAAAATCACCGGACTTTGTATAGATGCAAGGATGTCTACATTGTTGAAAATCCCTAAAGCACATTACGTTTCTTAATAAAGTCGTAAATATGAAAACAAAACGAAAATTTGATCTTACAGTTAACAGCTTCGAGTGCTCTTCACACGTTCCTTACAGTTTCACATATAAGGTGGTATTTTTCCGCCGGGAGCTGAAATCCTTGCGAAACATTTGAAGTCTTTATTGTTTTTATTTGGTTTTAAATTGTGATCTTAAATTTTTGAAAGCAATGCACTGACGATATGGGTGAAAGTGTTTCCGGCAATTGATGTTGTGTAACGATAATTTCATTGTATCGCAATCGCTTAATTAAATTATTTTTGGTATAAAATGCACTTTTTCATTCATTGATTTTCCATGGTAAAAATTTGGTTAAGCAATAAATAAATATTTATGGAAATTTCTTAAAATTACAATAATATAAAATGTATTAGTAATAATTGAAAATTAAATTATTAGTCCTGAAATATAAAAATGTATCAATATTATATTAAAATCGGTTATAATATTGCTGATTTAATCAACCTATCAATAGTAATTAAGTTTGCTCCACGTTTTTGTAATGCAATATTTAACATTTAATAATCAGATATAATAAAATGTAATGCAGCATTTAATAATTATTATAATACGATACTGATCATTGATTAGATCAATTTGACAAGTATTAAGAAGGATATAGTAACTATCATCTAAAGTAGATCTAGGTTTCTAATTAAAAATGAATATTATTTCAGAAACGCTTTGCTTGTCGATCAGTGGAATATGATTATAACAACATGAAATGTGTTTTGAGTGACTCTGACCGTCGTACCACAGGACAATTTGTTCAGTTGGTGGATGCCCAAGGTAAGTTAATTTTAAATTATAATAATCACAATAGTCCAAATATAGTACATATTAGATTGCTCAACTAAACTATGCTTTTCATGATCAGGAACTGATTACTTCGAGAATCTGTGCCTAAAAACTAGTCAGGCATGTAAAGCCAATCGTGTCTTCTCCATTCCAAGGATTGGTGTTGCGGATGATAAAGTGGCCCAATATGCAGGACTCCACTATTATACTGATAAGGAATTGCAAGTAAGTGCTGAAAAGTAGTTGTACTAGATCTGCAGATTTACTGCATATACTCCAGATTATAGTTACAATTGTGAATGTGGTCTAATAGACTAAGTATTTCCATTATCTTATTCTAGGTAACAAGTGAGCCCCGTGTCGTCTGGCTTGCGAAATCGAATCAGAATTCCTGTGTCGTTCTTTCTTATACCTTGGCACACCTCTGGGTTCGCAATATAACTGCCGTTTGTACCATTTGGATCACAAGACCTTGCCAGATGGCCCCTCAACATACCTTAACGCCGAAAGACCTTTACTCGACAATGGCGAACCTACTGGAACATACTTCGAGAACTTTTGCGAGAGTAAGTAATAATGTTCGGTATTTTTAATTAGAAAATCTTAAACAACAGTTTCATAATAAAAGTTCATTGTCGATTCGAAATATTAATTTGAAATATAATTAACATTTATTTATTAAGGCGTATCCAATTGGGTATATAAATTATTTTACGTTTGGTCGCAGTGAATGAAAGAAATTGCAAGGTTTACTCGAAAATTGGGTCGCAGCACAAAAAATATTAATTTAATTCTAATAAACTTTGATTAAATTCTTACTTTTCTCTTTTCGATACTGAATTGTAAATGATACTCATACTTCAATTCTAGTTTTAATAATATTGTGGATTTAATAAGTCGGCGCATTTTTATGAAAATGTCATATGATGTAATTGAGTATCCAGTAAAGTAGATTATACACATGTGCTTCTCATGTAAAAGCTTCGAACACCGTGATGCAAAAAGTACATTTGTTTTTTCTGATAAGTTGAAATATTGTTCGTGTTTGATATTCAGCAACAAAAGTCGAAATAACTTATGCAGATGTGTGTGAAAATATAAAGGAAATCATTGTAGATTTTTACTCAGGTTATGATATTTTTACCATGACACAAATATTTTTGTTAAATATACATATCGGGCCTCTCAGTTGGTTAGTGATTAGAGCTATGTGATTTCAATCCTGATGTCAAGCAGCAGCAACATCGGTTTTCATTTGAAATTATAGATAGGAATATGTTTCCAAGTAAAAATAGTTCTTGTAGAAAATAGAAACGGTACAGAAATTGTGAAAATAAAATTAATCATATAGAATTAGGACAACTGTTGCCATTTATAAAACCTCTAAGTTAAATAATCATAACAGCTTATAGAACCATAAAGAGCAAATAAAGCTAATATAATAAATTACACTATTTCAACATTTTTGTTTATGATGCCAAAATAAATAGCAAATTAAGCAGAAAGGTTGCGGTCAAGTTATAGATTCAAAAGTTTAACCCTTTCCACTCGCATGCCAAAAAGTTGCCAAACAAAAGTAGTAGTAATAGTGATAGTATATATACAATTAATCAAAAATCATTTTATCTAATAATTTGATTTTTTTTTCAGAACCGAATCCAAGTGCCCCAACCCCCGACCACACTTTGCCCGTTGTCTTCGATGCAACCGAAGATCCTTCAATCAACAATTTGACGAGAGCCGATGTAAATTGCGATAAGACTGGAACTTGTTACGACGGTAAGTTTATATAAACATACTATTTATATACTTAATTTCTCCTTTGCGGTATTTTCTGCACATCAATCATAAATAAATTAATTGTACTGTTGTTGAGAATTCTTGTATTAAGTTATTATCATAACTGTTCAGCAATCGATATTATTCAACGAAGAGTTAATGGACAAGTTACTCGATTTGAAAGAAGTTTTTGCGAATTCTCTGAAATAAATGAAATGCAAAATGGTAGAAGTATTCTCAATCAATTACTGACTGAAATAGATCTGATATACAATCTATGCAATATCTTAAATATATTTCAGAAAAGTTTCGAAGACTTAAGATGCAAAATATTTTTTTTATTATCTCTTTTATTTACAACTATCTAGTAAAGGACAATCAATAAACTTGATGAATTTACAATAGTCGGCCGAAAAGGGACATTGTATACTACATTGGCATGTTGGAAAAAACAACTCAGTAGTTGAGATGCAAAATATGAACGCACTTTTGGACAATGGATATAATTTATATAGATTTAATTTTACGATTAGTATTGTAGTGAGAAAAAATCACATTGAAAGAGTGTTTCTATTTCTTATTTGATCGATAATATTCCCTTTTCCTACCAGCTGCTTCTTCACGATCAATGTGCGCAAAATTAATATTCATATTAAAATAATGCTCGATCCATATTAATATTCATATCCCTGCATAGTTCCATTGTTTGAAAAATATCATCCAATTAAAATTTGCATTTTAGTAATTTGCTATATATTACTACTACGAGACGTCAATCCTTTTAGTTGATTGGAAACGGTTATTATATTGATAAAAGAAAGAGATTAATAACTGGCGGCGAGAAAGATGAATTTTCAACAGTATGTTCTTCTGAAAGGACAAGTACAGAAGCCGTTGTACTGCTTTGAATATAAATTCGATTGGCAGAGCATCTAAAACATTTTTATAAAAATGTGTACTTAAATATACTAATCAATACCGCAGTATACACATTTTATTTTAAATAATTATAAATCTACAATTTACTTAATTTTTTTCGAACTGGATCAATATTGGAAAACTGATATATTGGAATAATTACAAAATATTTATTTTGATATCAAAAACGTTGTATATTTAGTAAATACTATATTTACTAATTATATACATTCTAAAGGTATTAATTATACATAATACATAAACTTTATTTGACAAATCTAGAACCATGATCTTTTCAATTCTGAATCTATCCTAGCCTTCTCTTTTATGTCGCCCACATAACTTCCCCAAAATAATTTTTTATTATAAATTATTTTAGAATATTCAGTGCTGTTTGCTTTAACATTCGTTAAAACACACTTAATATTTTCAATATAAAATTAAAATTTATTATTGTATTTATTGTTTTTTTTTTCAAATTTATTTAGATGGACAAACATTTAATTTAAGCAACACTTTATCAAATTGTGCATTCTTCATGATTTACCAAAAAAAAAATATAAATAACTAATAATCGTTTAGTTCTATTTCACTCATATTTTGTAAATAATGATTGCAAGTCTAGGAATGTATATGCCCCTTATTTTTAAATTCCAATGTTTTTTGCATAATTTAGCACCTTGGTCAACGTTTTCATCAATTCCTGCACATGTCAACAATTTATAGAAAGCTTTCCATAGATTAAAAAAATAATGAAAATGCACATTTTGGAACTGCAATTGATTCAAAGTGAAAATTGAAATAAAAGAAAACGATAAAAGTAAATTATCTCCTATACGGATTGCTCATTAAAATATATATTTTAAGTCATATTAAACTAAGTTTCTCGTGAAATTGTGACCGTTTTTACAATAAGATGACAAAACCGTTATAAGAATATAAATCATTTTAGTATAAAATATTATCTCTTTAAAACGTTTTCAAATTTTCCATAAAACAAAATCATAAATATATAACAATAGTTTAGAACCTAAGTAAAATCCAGTTCCATTTCTGATTCTATGAAGTTATTTATATCAGCGTTGTTCAATATCCTGTTATGTTTGTAGATCATTGTTATTATATGTTTATAGTTGTTCTTATATGATAGATTATTACATTTGGATACAGTGCTTGGCAATATTGTTCAATAGAAATTGCATTTTATTATTATTAACGGAATGTTTGCACTAGAAGTAGAATATATAATTTGTTAGGATATGTATCACTGTTGCCTTTGAAAATAAAAATTATATTGTTTAAACCCTGACTCACTTTGATTGTTAGGATCAATAATTACATCAATTCCTATAAAAATATTCCATTTATATGAATCCATAAATCAAGTAATAACTAATATCATCATTATAATCATAAGCATAATTGAAAGCAAGAAAATAAATTGGAAGATATAAATATTATACTAATAATATTAGTTATGCAGAATAAAACTGGGTTATATGAGAAAGATATAAATCATTAACCTTATTGTCCCGAACTATTTTTATACGTACAAATATGTAACCATATAGATATCAATTGATATACTAAGTATTTAATTTTTTTTTCTCAATCTCTATCAACAGTGTCTGTAAACTGCAAAGATACTCGCATAGCAGTCCAAGTACGTACCAATAAACCATTCAACGGCAGAATTTATGCTCTTGGCAGATCAGAAACATGCAACATTGATGTCATAAACAGCGATCTCTTCCGATTGACCTGACCATGGCCGGACAAGATTGTAACACTCAATCAGTGGTAAGTAAAACTACTCACACTAGTCACTACCAATGAGTAAATTACCAAATTTATTTTATTTTAAATTGTTCACTGAATATTAGATAAATTAATCGATTGAACATTATTAACCCTCATATCATTATCAAGGTTGTAATGAATAAAATAAAGCCATTCTTAAAGCAAGGCCGAATTATGCATAGTTATTGCATTTTTTCAAGATAGTTTTAATTTTAATTCAATTAATAAATTTAATTTAAATTAAATTTAATTTAAATTTAATTAATTTAGTCCAAAATGTTTAATTGATAACCTAAATTTTTGTTCAAAATATCAGACATAGATCACAGGCGTCGGACTGTGAGTCCAAACTACAACTAACGAAAACTACAAATTTTTACCGAATAATATTTTATGTGTAATGATTAATAATAAAATGGGAATTACTGATTTATTTATTTGATAATAATGATCTACATCATTATTAAGACAAACTGCACGTGTAAAGTACAATATTCGGCATTTTGAAGAGGGCACATTAGGAATGGAGACAAAATTGGATTTTATCCATTATTCCAATTCTAATAACTTTCAATTTTCGAAACAGTTTAGAGTCGCCATGTCGGCATCAAACGTGTTATGAACAATTTGACAAATATTTTTAAAAGTACCAGATTTTAACAACTAATAGAAATATTTTATGCTCATTCCTGAAATTTTACTTGCTCTGAAAATGTTCATAAGGGTAC